ACCCCACCCCACCCCTGCCAGCCCCGGGCCCCAGGGATGCACTGCGTGGGCCCCAGGCCTGGGTCTGCACCGAGGCCCAGCTGTGGTGCTGCGTTCAGGCTGGTGCCATGTGGTGGGTGCCCGGGCAGGGCTGACTTGGACCCCCTTGCCTTTGTGCCAGTACCGCTCAGCCAGCCTTCCTCCTCCTCCCTGCCCGCCCCCCCCAGCTACTACATATCAGCAAGCCTGTGGGTGCTGGAGCCACAACCCGCATGCGAGCCCAGCTCTCCCTGCGGCCGGTTTAGCTGGCACTGCCGGCCCGGGCTCAGCCCAGCTCGCTAGCAGCCCTGAGCACCCCTGCCTCCGTCCCTGCGCGGCCTGCCGCGCTCCCCACACCCTTCTCCCAGCGGCCTGCAGCGGGGGAAGCAGGCAGCTCCCACCCCGCGCTTGCCCCATCTGGCCGGCACTGGGCCCTGCCACCCTCGCAGGCAGGCAGAGCGGCAGGAAAGGCCTCGGGCTCGCAGGCAGTGCCAGCTGGTCCAGCACAAGCACAGAAGCAGGGCCGCGGGCTTCTCAGGCTCGGCCCGGTTCAGAGCTGGCCCCACGGGGGTTGTGTGGGATGGGATGGGGCGCTGGGCTCGCTCGCTATCACCCGCTCCTCACTGCTGCAGTGAGACAGGTGCCAGGTCGGCAGCTGCGGCTGGGTGCCCCTGACCCTGGCGCAGCGCGGCCGGGGTAGGCCTGTGCTGGACTCAGCCCCAGCGCACGGCAGGGGGAACGGAGGCAGCGAGACCGGGCCTGCCCTGTGCCAGCCCTGCCAGCCCTCAAGCCAGCCTCACGGGGCAGAGGGCAAGCCGACCTGCCTGTATTTGTGGTACAGCATTAGCTCCAGCATGGCCTCACGCTGCCCTGCCAGGAGAGAAGGCGACATTGTCAGTGCCGTGGCCCACCCCAGCCCGGGTCCTGGTCCTGGTCCGGGAGGGGCTGTGACCCCTACGCCCTCTCGAGCTGGCTGCCGCATGCCACAGGGCTTGTCCCTGCCCCCCGCCAGCACTTCCTGTCACAAACAGCCGCGTGGCCGTGGCACAGCTGTCATGCCTGCCAGCGCAGGGCATGTGAGCCACGTGCACAGCTGCAGCGCTTGGGCCGCGGTAGTGGAAAGATGCCAGCTGTGCCAGAGCCGAGGGCAGCTCCGTGCCACAGAGCCGGCAGTCCCTGCACACGCAGCCCCAGGAAGCAATGCTGCATTGGCATGGCCTGGCGCCCACATGCAGCCCCTCCTGCACCCGCACCAGTGCACTGCAGCCTGCTCGCCCCCACCAGCCTCACCTCTCCGGGGGAGCCCCGTGGGGACGGGCCTGCGGTAGGCGTCCTTCATGGTGGTGCTGTCGGCCAGACAGGCGCACTGCTGCGGGGTGAGCAACCCACGGTGCCCATGCCGATAGAAGATGCCCTCGCTGCCCAGCTCTGGGCTGGGCACTTGGTCCAGCTCGTTGGTTGCTCTCTGCGAACACAGAGCAATGCGACCATGGCTGGGACGGGCCAGTGCTGGGACCCCCGCCAAGCACGGCATCCGGGGGCTTGCTGCCCCAAACACATGACCTCTGAGCACCCGGCAGCAGTCACAGGCTTCTCCTGACCCCATGCACCCCTTGCCCCGGGCTCAGCCCCTGCCACACTGCTGGTGCTGCCACCAGCCCTGGCTGCCCCGCGAGGTGCCCAGCCTGCCAGAGCAGCACCTGGGATCCAGCTCAGGCTGCTGGGTGGGGCAGGAGCAAGGGAGCCATGAAATGAGGGAGACGCTGGCCCTACCTGCACTGGCCAGCCCTGACCCCTACCCGGGCTCTGCCTCTCCAGGCCCCAGTAACCCTCCTCTCCCTGGGCACCCCAGCACAGACCCCGCGGGACCAGACTGGAGCCCCCTTGGTCTCCGGCTGCTGGGAAGGCAGCCCCAGTCCCTGCAGCTCTCCGAGGTAAGGGCACTGGGAGGCCCAGGCAGCCTCCCCCATCCTGAGACCAGCTGCTCAGGCACCGGGGCCCTGGGCGGCGCCGCCCGCGCTGGGAGGGCTCCAACAGGCCCCGGGGACTGGGCACAGACAGACTCCGAAGGTGCCAGGACCGCGCTCCCTGCAGCCTGGCCGGGCTCAGCTGCACGTGCAGCAAGGGGCCACAGGCTGGGCAGGTGGCTTCGCACGCAGCCAGGACTGACGGGGCCCTCGGGCCTTCCAGCCAGCCCCTGCCAGCACAAGCCCCACGGGGAGAGTAGGAGGGCGGAGGTCTAGTAAACTGACCCAGCTCCAGCGCAGGACCGGGTGGGATCTCCCGGCTCCGAGGGCAGCCCCGTGTCTCGGTGCCAGCCCAGCTCATGCCCAGCCTGTGGGTCCCCCCTCAGCTCTTGTGCCAGCGCGGGCTCCCCCTCCCGACCCCCCAAACCTGCTCCAACCCACGTGCCATTCTCTGACTGCCGGGGACCAGAGCCACATGCCGAGGGGCTCGATGGAGGCCCACACTGCCCACAGCCAGGAAGGAGCCCTGCACTCACACGCCCAGGACCACACAGGCCTGCTCAGAGCGGCACTGCGCTGCTGGCTCCCAGCTGCCCAGAGACCGTGCGGCACGTCTGGCCCTCTCCCCCCACCCGTCCTGTCATAGCAACGGGCCCCAGCTCAAGGCAGAGATGCTGCGATCAGCCCTGGTGCCTCACCAGGCGCCTGGTGCTATTGAATTTCATCCTGTTTCCACTGCTCAGCCCTCAAGGTCGCCCAGGTCAGCCTGTGCCTGTACCCGGCGGTGGGGGGAGCTTCGGCAGTCACGTACGGGGCTGCTGCAGCAGTGCTTGGACTGCGGCACATGCCGCATGAGGCAGCCCCAGACCCGCTGCTTTCCCCCACTGGCTGCCCTGGCCTGGGCCTGACAGAGTGGCTGGCACTGGTCAGTCTGGGTGGAGGGAGCAGGGCACAGGAGCCACCAGGTCAGCAGGGCACAGAGGAGGGAGTGGAGCACGGCAGGACCACAGGTCTGCGCCAAGAAGGCAGGACAGCACGTGGAGGGCTGGCCCGTGGCCCGATGCGCGGTAGAGGGGGACGGGCTGGTTAAAAGCCAGGACGCAAAGGGTACAGCGGAATGGGCACCTTGCAGGATGGAGGAAGGGCAAGGTGGGGTCCCCCAGGCACTCGTGCCAGGCCTCGGTCTGTTCACCGTGCCTGAATGACCTGGAGAAGGGCGTGCACAGTGGATTCCCCACGTCCGCAGCAACACTACATTATTCGCTGGGGTCACGTCCGAGCGGATGGAAAGGAGCTGCAGAAAGGTCTCACCAAGCTGAGTGAGCGGGCAGAGAAGGAGCAGATGAAGTTCAGCAGTGACAGGTGCAAAGTCGTTCGCGTGCGAAAAGCAGCCTCAACTGCACGTTCGCAACGCGTACGTGTGGCAGAAATGCCCCGTCGGTGCCCCTCTCCAGAGATCTGTCTCAGCCAGCCTGAGAGGCTGCTGTTGAATCTCTCACAGCGGGGATCTCGCTCCTTGTCTGCAGACAAAAGCCTGGCGCCTGGGAGGCGATGCTCTGGTCACCTGGGCAGGGGGGGGAAGACCCGGCCCTGCGCGCGGGCCCAGGTAGCCAGGGATGCTTTGCAGATTGGACGGTTTGTAGCCAGTATTGGCAGCTT